TGCAGCCAATCACTACTGTATTAACAGCTCTGAATATAACTGCGTTGGGCTAGCGTCAAACTACACCAATCGGTGTATAAGGCGCTCGGTGATCTCAAGTTTAAGGATTACATGCACCATCATTCGTTAGAGGATTTATTCCACTGACATTGGGGTTACCATCTATATAAAATTCTCAGGTAGGTCAGTCCAGTGAACTTGCCTATAGCAAGCACCTATGTGTTACACCAAGTTATCAGCCAACAACCTTGCAAGTGAGATCTGTCACTGCTTTTTGACAGGGTCGTTCAGTATTATTCTGACCAAGGGCACAGATAATACGGTAAGACTATCATAGTGTTGAACGACCCTGTCAAAAGGCTACATACATTTCTAGAATGACCACCATATGTGCTCATAGGGTTCTTACTATCAAGATTTGAAACACTTGATACCCTCATCACGGTTCTACCATTCTAAGGACATATATCAATACATATAGATATGATTTACATGATATAGAATAAATTGCCTTTTATTGATCAATGAACATTATTACAAAGTGTTAATTCTACAATAATTGATTGGCTCTAGGGCACCTACTCTAATAATCTCTCACTTGCACTATAGCCAATAATTCATGTATTTAATACCAAATGACCTCAAGTGTTGTTCATGCTTCTACTGTGACAGAGGATTTGTCAGTGGATCTACGAGATTGTCATCAGTATGCACTTTACTGATCTGCACATCTTTCCTCTCAACCATTTCTCTAATGAGATGGAATCATCTGAGTATGTTTCTGGACTTCTGGTGAGACCGTGATTCCTTAGCTTGAGTTATTGCTCAATTATTATCACAATAGACATCTATGGGATCAACAATCGTGAAAACCACTCCAAGTTCGGTGACGAACTTCTTAACCAGACTACCTTCTTGGCCGTATCAGATAATGCAATATACTCAGCCTCCATTATAGAATCTGCTACAGTGCTTTGCTTGGAGCTCTTCCAGCTCACTGCACCCCCATTGAGACAAAATACAAACCCGAATTGTGAATGATAATCATCTTTGTCCGTTTGGAAACTAGCAAGGAAGACTTTTTGCCATCCAGACGCTGCCACGTCGCACAAGGATGGAAGAGGTAAGACTGTCGTCAGTGTGACAGGTGAAGGCTTGACTTATGAGTGGCTAGGAATTGTCCACCTGCCCAAGCCCTACGCGATTTAAGGATATCTCCTATGCAGACAGCCAATGGGAAGCAAGTTAGGAATTGTACCACACCTGCTCGACTGCAGAATCAAGATTACTACCTTGAATCCCTCGACTATAAATATAGAGCTTCTCTCTCATTTACGGGATTGACTCATTTTTTGTTTTCTAAAGCAGACTCTCTCTCTCTCTTTATATATATAAATTCTCTCTATATTGTAACGCAACTCGTTGTACGCAACCTGACTGTAATCATCCATCAATACAACTATAGTGGACGTAGGATTCTCTTTTGAGCATCCGAATCAATTTAAAAACTGTCTCTTGTTTATTCTCTCGTTGCACATTTCCATATCACGTGTAATTTCTAAGTTCGCTTAACACTTTACACGTGCGAGTCATTGGTGTCAAAATCAAGCATCAACAATTATGTTACTCTCATCGAAACTAGGATAACTTTATTCTTTGGTTGAAATACTAATATGAGACTACGGTTATGTTTTGATGGGTTACAAACGTCAAGTGAGTAACAAAATACATTTTACATGTTTGAAAATAAATGTTGTTATTGATTTGATAACATACATTATATGTGTTCGTTGTTATTGATTTGATAATGTTATAGTTTAGTGTTAGTCTTAATTTTAAGATTTTACGAGCATATATTATTGTATAATTGAATTTGTGATACTAAAATAAGAGTGATATTAATCTAACAGCGGTTGGATTTCCTATATTATAGGTTTATTAGAAACTTTTTACAATTAATTATTGTTTATATTAAAATTACAATGCATAAGGTTATTTATACAAAATATAAATTTTATTTTGAATTGTAATTAATTTTTATATTAATGTTTGTGTATGCACTTTATGTGTCTAATGTTGTACTAACTTATAAAGCTCATATGATATTAGAAGATATTTAGTAAATTAGTAGGGATAAAAGGGTCATTCCTACTATAAAGAAAATAAATATATAGGAATTAAATTGATTAATTAAAGATAAAGTTTATTTACTTAATAATCAACATTATTAAATAAAGCTATATATATATATATACGTTTGGAATTTGTGGAACTTGAATCATTGTGGAGATTCTATGGTTATGACGACCGACAAGTGCTTTAGCGTCTTGGAGTGGGTACTTCATTTCATTCAAACAAGAAAAGTAAAAGTTAAAAAGATGATAAGAATAAAAGTCAAAGTCTTCTAGCCTAAGAAATGGGTAATTGCCACGTGTACTGATTTGGTTTTGATAAGCCTTTTACCTAACCGAAATAACTGTCTCCAAAAGAGTAGAAAACTTCTAACTTATTGGAATTTGGACAAGGCATGTTATTATTGACTAAGTTCTAAAAATATTTAATTAATTATTTACTAAACATGCTTAAGAATTAATCAACAATGTTTATCCTGTGGTTCATGTTTAATTTCTGAATTAATTAAAGAATAATAATTAAGTATTCTATTAATTTTATGTTAAAATAGATTTTTTTTTTTTTAATTTGGAAATCTCTACCGACATTAAAAAAAAAAAAATCTCATAAAATTATTAAATAAAGATACATAACATGTTCTCGATACTAGCCATATATTAATTTTTATTTTTAAAAGACTCTTTTAATAATTTCGTAAATAATTAATTATTATTGATTTTGAATTGGAAAACGCGGTAAGAGAGAGTCGTTTTCACACGTCTCATTGCTTTGTAAAATTGTCTGTCCACACTACACTCCACAGCTGTAAGGGTAGACTTTCGTTACCAGTATCAAAAATATGTCCAAAAAGTCCTAAATCTTTATAAGTTTACAAAAGGTACCCATACCAAACTATTCTTACATGTTCACATAAAGAGAGTTAGTTCTTTTTAGTCCCTATAGTTTCAGTTTACTACTGCTTAAAGACAATACTTTCAAATACTAAGATTTTTAGTCCTTATCATTTTAAAATACTACTTTATTAGTCATCTGACTTAATAAAAGGTTAATTGACTACTAACTTCATATTGAAATGACAAAAATACCCTCTTTTAAAGTTATTAAATTTTTATTAAACATTGATATAAGAACGCATTTTAACAAAAAAAAATGTGTAATAAAATTTGTACATATATAAAAACAAAAAATTTTGTACATTACACATTTGAAAATTAAAATTATATAAATGTGATGAATGAGTAGTCTATAATGTGTTTATGTAATTTAGTGTTGTTTATGTAAATAATTTTTTTTAAAGGGCAATTTTGTCATTTTATGATAAAATTAACACTCAACTAAACTTTTATTAAGTTAAAGAACCAAAACTGTGGCCTTTGAAACTATTGTTCCTGCTAGGGGTGAGCATGGGTAAAGGGTAGAACTGAAACCGAAACTAAAATTAGAACCAGCAATTCCTAGGTTTGGTTCCGATTCCGATTTCGGTTCCTACAGTGCTGGAATAGGGAACCGGAACTGGAACTGGAACTGGAACTGGAGCCGAGGTCTGGATATCTGGGTAGAAATTGAGATTGAATTGTAATTTTTATAAACTATTGGGGGTGTAGGAATATGTTGGGGTGTATTTATCATTTTTTTTTAACTAGGGGGTAATTAAAATTAACCCGAGTACTGGAAACCGAAACCTATATTTCAGGTGCCGATTCCAAGTTTTTAGGAACCAGAACCGGTCGATTTCGATTCCAAATCTTAGGAACTAGCGGGTTTCTTCAAAAAATACAGGGTATCTGAACCAGAACCTCTCACCCCTAGTCCTTACATAGTAAACTGAAACCGTAGGAAATAAAAATGAATCAACTCCAAATAAAGCTTTTGTGTGGTTTCAAAACGTCTCTTCAGAACATACGTTAAAACATATATATATGCAAATCACCAACTCGAAGTAAAGCATTTCAATTCAAATTAGAAAGTTGTAAAGAATTCTTTCAAACAAATTCAATGGCTGTAAGGTACAAAGTTCAAACATAAAATGAAGGGTTCATGTGCTGGATGCCCATGCCCACGAACGGGTATCTATTAAGATCTCATCTCCATCCATTCTTCACGTAAGAATAGATATTTTCTTTTGGAAGATTAATCCGTTTTCGCATTATCTTACCGAATTATTTAATAGAAAAAAAATGATAAATTGGCTACTAACCAAAACCAATGGAAGCTCGACACAATATTTATTAAGAAATCAAAGTATCATGTTATAATTGACTACTTTTTTTCTCTTTATTATATATGTTGTCTGCCACAAAAATTAAAATAATTATCGATCTAAAACTTTATAATAATGTGATCTAGACTATATATTATTCTAAGCAATGACAAAGTTTTCTTATGAGTGTCGATTACACAAGTTTAATTTATAATATACTGTTCAATGTAGCCATATTATAATATATGATATCTTTGACGGAATAATATTCCAACCAATAATGCCAAAGATTCCAACCAATAATCCCAAGGGGTTGGCCTTACGATCAAGAAAGCTTGCTCTCTTTATTGACTTTTTGGATTCAAACCACCTTAGGACCGTCTATCACAGTTGTGACTTACCTGGAACATTAGACTTATAGGGTGTTCAATGGGCACCGGGATTAGCTGAACTTGCGTACAAGCTAGCTCGGACGGTTATTAAAAAAAAAAAATTCTAACCAATATTGAAATAAAAACTATACATTATTTTGACAGTTTTAATTTATTTAACAATAATACTCTAGAAATGGGAAACAAACCTCATGGTTGTTCACTATTTTCATGATGAGATTATTTATTACAAATCCTAATAATTGGATTAAAATGCAATTAAAAAATTCTGTCATTTGTCCCGTAACATAATTTAATTGAACTTGTCTAATTTAATATTCTTAACATGTGCCTTAATAGCTAAATAGAAACTACAATTTGTATACAAAACTTTCCAGAAGAAACATGAACAGAAATTAAATGAAACTGCAGAAACAGAGAAGAGAAAGCTGATCCCCTGGGTCTAGAAGGGCACAGGGGATGTGAAAATGAATCATTAGCACATCAAAACTAAAGGGTCGTACAAGAGATTGTTAATCCACCTTCAAGGAGCTTGAATCCTGAGCATTGGATCGCCTTTCAGCAAGTACCTCTTTTGTCTTTTCTAGAACGCCGAAGAAAATTGAACCTCCAATACCGATCCACACTACTCTAGCTCCCATGCCCTGCACCAAATAACCGATATTTACTCAATAAAAAGAATTCTGCTGTTCAACTCGGGCATCACTGTATTAGATAGATTAGTATTTCAAGTATCCGCACCTTGAAAAGAGTAGCAACACCTTCTTCTCTTATAACAGTCTGAACACAATCGCAAATCCCTTTGTATTGTTTCGCTGATCCCTGCGAAGGATTGAACATAAAATAAAAAATGAAAGCAAAGAAACACTTTATGGCTCTTCATGTTCCTCTGATGGTTCTCTGTGTAAAAAAGAAAATAATGTTTTTACCTGAATCATTAATCTCGTCTTTATCACATCAAGAGGCGTAGTTACTGCACCAGTTATGGCACCTGCAGACACAGATTATGGAAACGGAATTTGACCCAAGATGTTAATTAGTTTATGTATCTTCATGGTTACAATATTCACAGCAACTAGTTAGCATGACAAAATTTTTTGATAGACAGCTCTTAGAATTTTTCTGAAAACTCGGGCCACATAAAGACATTAAAGGAAGGTCTTTCTCATTGTTTTGAAACAATGCTATTGAAAAGAATGGCATTTCATGTGGTAATTCATGTTTTATCTGTTCCCGATTGAGACTGTTCCTGGGGAAAGGGGAGCATTAAGGCAACTGGATGCAGGGCTGTCTGAAGGAAAGCATGAATTACCACATGAATGCTCAGGATTAGAACAATCTTAAGTGATAATATTTTGGTATAAAAAGGAATATATAAATATAGAAAATTTATCATTAATGATATTCTATGGTGGAATAAATAATATTAAGTAGGCCTTATGTCAAGGGAATTAAATGTATTTCTTTCTTAATGAAAAAAAATTAAATTTGAGGAATTCTTGAATATATATTTTTTTTAAGAATCTTGAGGCCTTGACTCAAGGGGAGGCCTAAGGCAATTGCCTTAGTTGCCTAGCCCTTGAGCCGGCACTGACTGGATGAAGCATGCATTGCTTTTTATTGTATGGTATGATCATTTGAGTGAATAAACAACTATTTGTTTGCAAAGAATTCTGGATATGCTGTAAGGTTATAAGGGGCTCTAAATTACCTGCGAAAGCACCAACAATTGCATTTTCAGTGTTGGTCAAATTTCTCCGTGCCTGCAGGAAAAGCAAAGTAGTCAGTTCGGCAAAACTATTGAGCATATTATTACAGCCACATATATGAAAAAGGTGGGACAATCTAGTCTTAAGTTTCCAGATGATCTTCTATTCTACACTGATTGATGTTAATTCTTAAGTCACCAGATGACAATCAAGCGCGGGGGATACAAGTTTCTTGTTCTGAAGTATTCAACGTGCCAGTTCATAAAGGAATGCACTAGACACCATAGCATCTGCAACTTAGTCAAAATATGTTATACCTGACACTTAGTGCTTACATTTTAGCAACCAGGTATAGACGCAACAGCCAGCTTGTAAACAATTAAAACAAAACTAATAAAAAAGGTGAATAGAATTTTTTTGTTAATGTAATAATGAAGAGTTGCTTTGTGGAGATTGTGCCATAAAGGACATGGGCATTTTTCAAACTATGGATGGGCTTCAATTTCACGGGAGGATTGATTTGTAATGCTCTTCTAGTCGTTCTATTAGGTGCAGCCATACTCTCAGCTATAATTAGAAGTAAAAAAATTACAAACTGAACTCTGTGCATAATTATGCTTACTGCCAGCTTATATCCGAGTAGAAGCTGCTCATAGATGCAAAACTGAAAAGCGTCAAAAGGCAAATCTCGCAACAAAAAGGATCCGTATCCCTACAGTTTCAGAAAAGTATGGTATGTGGTCAGAGTATTCATGAATGAAAACAGTGAGTGGAACTGAAAAGCATAAAAATATTTCAAACACACTAAGTGTAAGCGAAAGAAATACAAGACTACAGCCACTATAACATGAAATATTTACATACCGCAAAAAGGCCTTTAAAGCCCTCCCTACAAACAATAAGGCGAACAGCATCATGAGCTGAGGTGAATTGCCCAATCTGCATCCTTTGCTTAATGACCTGGGAAGTCTTAATTAATGGGCCCAGGTACAGGAGTAAAGATGGTGAATCAAGATCTAAACTTAGATACCTCAGTTGGTACACGAACAAGAGAAGAAGCAGCACCTCCAATTGCACCTGCAGTCTGAATGATGTCGAAAACTTTTCATATAACAACAAAAGGCAACCTAGAAGTAGAAGTATCCTATGGCACAATAAAAAGTGATACATAATAAGAAACAAACATTTCAAAACCAAACTACCTGCCCATTCATAGAATTCAAGCAACTAGAAAATTCAGTAAATGTGGTAATAGACATTTTCAAGAAGTAATAATCCTTCCTTGAAGGTTTTAGTAGGTGTTCATAGCCACAAGCATCTAAAGCATCAAACTACGTGAAAAATTAGAGACATACAAAGGAAACTTACATGCATGATCTATATCCTTTTGTTTAGCTAAAAATTCATCAGAGTTTACAAACACATTGAAAGGAATATCTTTAGATATAAGACAAGTTTAAGTTATATATGCCATATTGACAGAAATTCAAAGAAATAAATAAATAAAAACTCAAGTTTGCCAGTTATAGTTCAGCAGCAATAAAGCCTTGCTTAGCACACTTACCAGATGAGCAAAAGCACTAAGGTTTTGAGGGAAGGTCTTTAACAATTTCTGCTTTACAGGTTCATATACACCAATAAATATTGCAGAAGCCCTGCAAGCAATAAACATCAAAAACTTTGCATCCCAATAAAATTTTTGGGCATTTTTATTTTCTTTAGTGCCAAAACCAAGTAAGAACGGCAGAAGATTTTAAATAAATATGACACACGACTAGTTATAGCAAATACTATATCCAAAATTCAGAGAAAACTAATAATTTTGAGAAAACTAAATACTCCATAAAATATCACAAGATTTCTGTTCAATAATTTATTACTGCTTCCAGAAACAGAAAACCAATGACTTAGTTCACAAGGCAATAACAAGTTTGTCTTGATTGCATTTATAAATCAAACAACCTGCTCACTGTAGATCAATTAATTGTAAACTTATTATAAGATAAATAATCAGTAATCATACAACAACTGCCAAAGACACTTATAAATATAAGAGAATGAATCTGTAATATGTTTTTACTCAATGTATTCTTACTGTTTAAATCATGCATCTTGGGTGAAAAGGCAGTACATTGGCAATGGCCCCAAAAATAATAGCACAACACTGGCAACTAAGAGCACTTACGGCAAGACACCAGCAAGATTTCCAAGCAAACCAGAATATAGACCCTTCAAACCAATCTGCCCTCCATAATGAGCCGCCTAACATGGGACCAATGGACAGTTAGTCACAATTTACTGATGCATAAAATTGTTAGAAAACATAAGTTACAAGTGATGTCAGGCATTTTCATTTCCCATTATAAGATCATACTGGATTCAACACCAGGGCTTGATGGGAAGGGAAAAAAAAGCAACAATACAATTATCTATTCTGGAAACAACAAAATGCACTGGGATGTCATAAATCCAGCCAGATATTTTTTAAAGAATTTTCACTTGATGAGAAACATTATTAAGAAAACTACCCATCAGATAAAAGTTTACTTTTTCAATAAGAAGTAAAACTTGCATGAAAGCCTCAGAGACATGAGAAGCATACTCCCTTTTACAAGTAGCAACACATGTCAAACACACAGCAAAGAAAGAGGTCTTGTTCTTGAATAAAGAATACCTAATTAAAGGACATGAAGCCTGTCATAATTCAAGTGGGACTAATAGAGCAGCACATGAAATCACAAATTATCAAACACTATAAAGATTCTGAGCAAGTCTAACAAATATGATATACCAAATTAAAACACCAATATTCTACGCCTTTATCTCAAGTATCCAAGGAAAAATCAAATCAATTAATCATAACAGAATCAGTTATTTCCTTCTTGATGAATAGAAGAAAATTTTGAATGGTTGACAAACCTGAAGTCTAGTTTTAATAGTATCAATTGGGTACAAAACTGCTTCAACAATAACACCAGCAGTGCCTCCAGCTATAGCACAATCTGCAAAGTTGTCAGATTAAGTCAATCCAAAAGTCAAAACCAAAATCCAGAATTCAGGTTAAGTAATTCTCGTAGAAGTTCATACATAATAGAAGTTAGCTTAAAGCAAGAAATCAAAGGACAATATCGTGCACAGCAACAAACATAACAGTGTAATTAAGAAAATGATTTACAAACAACTACTGGGAACACAATCCACAAGTGGCATTATTTCTGACATAAAAATTCATTTCCAAGAAACTAAAGTGAGCGTAACGTCATTACTACCATCATAAAGGAAACTATTAGGTGAAAAGATTAAAGTATAGTAACGCATGCTTCTAACAAGATTAAATGCATTTAACTTCAACAAATTCATATTACATACCGAGTAAAACACGTAAGTAATCAAATGGCTTATTGTCTCCTATACGAACCGATGCAAAAGACATGTTAGATTCATCTCTAGAACTCCACAACTTGTTCTTCAACACCAGCCCATCTGTAAAATAAAAAAATTAGTTCAGAAAGATTACTGCAATCAAGAGACAGCCAAACAAAGGTAGAAATCTAACAAGCACATTAAAGAAACCGTCAAAATCACAAAGCATATAAATTAAGGGTCATTCTACAGCATCGATGATCATTGCAAACTACAACTCATTTTATAATAAGTGACAGGTTCATAGGCGAAGTCAGGAGGGTCAATTGTATTTAATGGTATTAATCATTAAGTTATCATACAACAGTAACAAACTTATCAAATATAAAAACTGTATTTTTTTAATTAAAAATTAAAACTTTTTGGGGACAAAAAGCCTTGAGTTCACTATTTTTATCTATTCTATTCTACTCTTATCTTAAAAACCAAAAAATACAGTTTGTTCAAATTCTCAAAATTCAATTCATTTTATTCAACTCAAAATATTAATAATTACCTTTCTCCTAAAAATAACCCAACTCAATTCAAGTTTACTTTTCCACAACACTATTCTATGAAATAGTTAACCACACGTAGCCAAATTGTTATTCATATAGCATTCTCCACATAAAACATTACTCAAGTCTACCAAAGACAAACACTCTAAAAAAAAAAAAAAAAAAAAAAAACACAACACAACACAGCTCAAAACGCTACTGTAATTCCACTTTCTACAGTTTCATAAGCAACCAAGAACGAGCGTAGGGTGACAGAAATGAGTTATACCAGGTGGGTTCGTTTGAGAGCTGCTCGCATTCATTGATAAAGTTGAAGGATCCATCGACTTCATGCGAACGATCAGTTTAGCTGCAAACTGAAACGAAACAGAATGGTTTGAAACGAAAAATTTCGAAAGAGATGACAGATCACAGAATTGAGTAAAGTGAAGTGTGAAGATAGTAATTTTGAAATTAGAAGTGGGTATTTTGTTAGGATCAGTATATTGTCGTCAAGCTTTCGGTGCTCTCCGTCATCTTCTCAATGTCGCTCCGGCCTGAGGGGAGTTTGAAAATATTATAAAATTGAGAAAATTTAGCTGCCCGGTTCCCCCAAGTATGTATTTAAGAAATGACCTTGAAACTGTTCATCAAATTTTTATAATTTAGAGAAGATGACGTGGCATAGTTAGGATTAATTAAACACGAAAATAGGTTAAAATGAAAAGATTAAAACATATGTGGACGAATCAGAAATAATAAAAGTTTTCAAAATTTGAAATTTCGCAAAACAAGCCCATCTAACATCACGTCGCTTAATCGAAATTCATCAGTTGAAAAGCGATTTCTTGAACGAAAGGGGACGCGATTTTTTCCGATCGAACACCAATGATTTGCACCCTAAATCAATTTCTTGAACCCTAACCGAATACAGTTGCGATTTTCGGCTATATAGTCGCGATTTTCGATCGATTTGTTGAACCCTAAAATCGATTCCTTAACGTAAACGAAACTGTGCCATTTCCGGCGATACAGTCCAGATTTCCGATCGAAAATGCCAACGTTGACACCAAATTCAATCCAAAACCATGAGTGACAGACAATGAGGAGGGAAGCCCAACGCCACTTCGAATCCTAGATTCCGGTGGCGCAAGCAGTTCAATGGCTGCACCGGTGGATCATCTGACCATTGAAGGTGGTCCACAGTAGAGGAGACGCCGGCGGCACAAGACAGGGAAGAACCAGCAAGGGGTCTGAAGACGAGGAGTCAGGCGAGAAGGAGGATGGAGAGATTCAGGCCAGGAGGTGGATTCGGATAGAATTCAGGCCAGGAGGAGTGCCGAAGGATCCAGGCGACGAGGAGAAGGCCGGCGAAGATAGGGTACGTAGTTTGGGAATGTTGCTTGTAATTTCGCTTAAGCGATCATTTGTATCGCTTAAGCGATTATTCTGTTTACTCGTGATCGCAGCAATGATCGCTTAAGCGTATAAAAATGATCGCTAAGCGATCTGAGATCTGGGCAGATTCTGCCTAGACCAAAGATCGCTAAGAGATCATGAGTGTTTACCTTGGTCGCTTAAGCGATCTTAGTGCTGGGCAGAATCACAGATTAAGAATCTCAGTTAACTTTGGTCGCTTAAGCGATTTAAAATCGCTTAAGCGATCTTGCATGAGACAGTAAAGATCTCTTAAGCGATCCGAGACGCAAGCGACTACAGTGGTTTTGGTTTATTTTTGTTGATGACATTTTATTTATACGATGTTGCAGATTGTGCGGACCATAAACTGTAGAGAGTACGAGTTGGAGCCTATAAGTGAGAAGGTACCCTATTTCTGCAAGGGTGACGGTGAGGTCGAGCTGGGAGGTTTTTGACAGAATAAGGGCCATTAGCTGAATGAGGCACGGTGAAAGAGATTTTGGTGGCACTTGTTTCGGTCAGTTTTTAAGAATCGGAAAAAAGTGGAAAAAGGTCATTTTGGGGGCAGGGAGTGCATTACATGTTGATGCACTCAGTAAAAAGCAACAAAAAAAATGAAATGTGGTTCGGGTGGAGGAAAGCCACTACGGTTTGGTTGATGGAGGATGCGTTGGTGACGGGCTTAGGATGCGAGAAAGTGCCAACTAAGGCGGAGGCAGACGCAGTAAGGACGAGTGCGGGAGCCATAAACTTTTGTAAAAAAGTTTTGAAAGGGGCAAAGTCTATTACAGAAAAGTTTTAGAGAAGAGGCTATATACAGTTCGGTTTAGTGATGCAGAGAAGATAAAAGTGTGCTTGATATTGTTTTTACATTCTATCTTATTGGCTGGTGACTCAACAAAGCTGTTGAGAAAGATTGTTGCTGTTATAAGCGACTTGGAGTTCTTTAATTCTTATCCGTGGGACGGATATCATTTGACGAACCATCAAGAGCCTGAAAAAACCAGACATGGCGTAAAGCATGTCGAATGGGGCGGGAAGGCTAAAAAGCACGTATAATTTGTTTGGCTTCCCATGGGCAATGCAGGTAAATATTAATAGCTCTATGTTATATTTTTATAATATGTGTGTTTGAATTGACATGGACTGTTTTTTTACAATGTAGGCTTAGATGTACGGTCATCCCTGTCTTCGCTAAGGCGGGGGGGAGGAGCAAAAATGTGAATGGCAACAGCAATTTCCTAGGATGTTGCGGTGGCATGGAGAGCTGTAACCATTGGGATTATGGCCAATTAGAGATGAGATTCAAGCAGCTGGGGTAAGATTGAAGGATAAGCTTTTGAATATGCAGTTGCTTTTTATTTTGCTTCAATCTGATTGATTTTATTTCTTATTGCAGGGAGTCGTCCGTCCTTTTTACGCCTTGGGGATGAAGCGGAAAAGGACTATGTCATATCTTTCAGAGCAATGGGAGATGAAAGGGATGAACAGATAGACCGCCTGATGGGGACCTAAAAGGGGTCACGCATGTGATGGCAGTTGCAGGGCCATTGCTTGACATGTCGTTGATGCTGAGGATAATGAAGCTCGGGGGGCCGAGGATGAGAGGGAAAAGGGAGGAAGAGGTTCGTATGCCTCAGCAAACCGGTACAACAAGTACCGCTTTGCCGAGACATCGGCGTAGGGAGAATGAGGTTGTTGACCTCATAAACGGCCTGTTGAGAGTTTTACAACAGCCGTTTATGCAAAGCTTGAGAAGATGGAAGAAACAATGAAAAGGTGGAGAAGAAAGTGGATAAGGTGGGAGGGAAAGTAGGTACAATGAGGGCGAAGTTGGTACATGGAGGGCGAGTGGTACAATGGAGGAGGAGTTGGTGGAGAATTAAAGGCGGTTGAAGTGCAAACTGGCTTGAAAAGAGAGAGCCGAAGAAACAAGTTTGTGAAATCGCTTACATGGTAGTGACACAGGTAAGAGAAGAAAATGAAGAAACAAACGGAGGAACAACCAGAAATGAGGAGGTTGAGGAGGTTGGGTGGAAGTGGGGCGGTGATAATGGAGGAGGGGGAGTTGGGAGGCGAAGGAAGCGAGGATGTAAAAATGGAGGAAGGGGAGGAAGGGGGAAGGGAAATTGGACTCAAATGTCGATTTGTATAGGCCAATAGAGGAAAGGAAAAAACTCTTTTATGCTATTACAATGGATCGGGAATTGATGGCCATATAAAGTGTAAGACAGGGGATTACGGGAATGGTTTCAGAAGTTGTTGACGATGGGGACGTGGCTTGAGATCGGTGAGTTATTTCACTAATTTTCCTTTTTTTGCCTGTGTTTTCTATACTTATTGTTTTTTTATTTGGAAGCACATCGATGAGATATTTGACTGAGAGGCTACGACAGACTAGTGATGGTGATCTGTTGTATCCCGACTGTGCTATCACCGATGTGGCGTTTGGGCAAATGCTTGTTTCGGCATATCGCACTTAATTAAAAATGCCGTTGCTAGTGGTGTAGGAAAAGGACCGAAGCGAAAACGATTGGTGCACAACAGTCGGACTGCATCCTGATAATTTCCGGTTTGATGAGAGGATTATGCAGTACGTAAGGGGGGATCGGCCCAAATATGGCCACGGTTGGGCCTTTGTAAAAGAGTGTACTGCATCATCCTTGTCAAATAGATGCACTGGATAGCAGTCGTTGCGCATCTAGAGGAGGGGTTTCTGAAGATCCTTGACTGCAACCCAACCATTTGTCGAGACAAGCAGTTGGAGGTCGATTGGACCCACGTCCAGGTTGTTCCCGCGGCTGTTGCGTGACAGCGGGATGTTGGGCACTTCGGTGATCAGGTACTAACCGGAAAGTGGCCAATTCAGCGCTCTAACTGCCCAATAAATGAGTCAAGGTAAATTTTGTTTAAAACTAAACATAATACAATTGTTCTATAAGTTTTTATAATGCTAATGTCTTTTCCTATTGTAGCGTGAATGTGGGGATATGCCCTAAAATTTGTTCAGTTTGATATGACCAACAGCCCGATGGACAGCTTGAATGACGAAACAATGAAGATTGTCGGGAGCGCTGGGCTGTCGACTGCTTCCATGGGCGATGGATCCGTTTTGAGTGACCAGAACCCAATCAAAGGGTATGAATGTTGGACGCTGAATTTTGTAGTTTATGTGATGTTGATGTTCATATGATTTTTTGAGTTGATTGTATTTATTCTAAACCATATAACTTCAGCTGCTGACACTGAGTTTTTTGACTTGTAGTTTATGAAAGATGGAATGGTCAATCTCCACAAAAAGTCAACGGAGGCACCATCTTGAATTTGTTGGATGCTAGTTCAGAGCCAGAAAGCATCGGGAAGAATGATGTCGTGGGCATCTTTTCAAGCGGATGCCCTGATACCATTCACTGTGGACTCTAAACTCTTTGGCATCAAAAACTAAATTAAAGGTAGTGTACAGGAAATTGTACATAATTACTATGTAGGTGTGATCATTGTAAAGAATTGGATCTGATATTGGGATATATTTTTGTTTGTCCAATAAGATAATTCATCAGCAGTTTCAATTTACTATGTATGGTGTGTCCATATGATATTTGTTTGTCCACATATTCTCTTAAACGACCAAGACTTTTCCAGAAACGATCGCTTAAGCGATCTTAAATCGCTAAGCGACCAAGGTGTGGGAGATGTCATTTTAGAAAGAATCGCTTAAGCGATACGTAAGGTCGCTTAAGCGATCATAGTCTGGGCAGATGTCATTCTGCCTCGGAAAAGATCGCTTAAGCGACCACATGTCTTTTAGGAAGAATCGCTTAAGCGATACAGTTGGGTCGCTTAAGCGATCATTGTCTGGGCAGAAGTCAATTCTGCCTCGGAAATGATCGCTTAAGCGACCACATGTCTTTGGAAGAATCGCTTAAGCGATAAGGTGGGTCGCTTAAGCGATCATAGTCTGGGTAGAAGTCAATTCTGCCTCAGAAACGATCGCTTAAGCGATCTATGATCGCTTAAGCGACCACATATCTTTTAGGAAGAATGCTTAAGCGATAAAGGTGGGTCGCTTAAGCGATCATAGTCTGGGCAGAAGTCAATTCTGCCTCAGAAACGATCGCTTATGATTGCTTAAGCGACCAACATGTCTTTTAGGAGAATCGCT